TAACGAGAGAAAAGCTCTGAAACTTCAGCGCGGAGCGGAAATGTGGCCCTTTCCCTCCAGTCCTCTGTGTGTTCCTGTGACTGCTTTCCCAGCGAGGTCCTAGGCTCTGGCACCTGCTTAGTCTCTTAGGAATTGTACACGGAGCCCCTGCTGGTCCCTGTCTCTGTTCCTGCCTGCACAGCCCTCTCGCCAGGGGCAAGGAGAGGGGAGATGGCCCGGTCCCCCATGCTCGGCCTCGCTCTGCTCTGGGCCTGAGGTAGGACCCTGGTCTGGATCCCTGCTGACTTCCCTCCCATCCCATCTCCCTACAGGCCTCCAGCTCAGCACTGAGCCCTGAGTCTCCCAGAGGACTCACTCGAAGGTGTTAGCACTCACCTCCCTCCCACGGACTATAAATGGGGCCTGGGAAGAGAGGACAGTGCCGGACACAGCGCCTTTCCCACTCACCTGGCAGGAAGCTGTGGGGAAGTGTGCGCTTGTGAGGGAGGGACGGTGGCCAAGCCTTGGGTGTTTCCCCCAGACTTTCTCTTTGTTGTTAACAACTCATTGCCCGGCTAAATTGTCAAAAATCTGGAAAATAATCCCGAGGAGGGCCTGCCTGTCCGCTGTGTGGGCTGTGCCAGCGAGACGAGAGGACTAGCCTGGGCCCAGACCAGGGCGCTGGTTTCCGTCCGTGTGGAGAAGGGGGTACACGGGCGGGCGCTGAGAACCGCGGGGGCTGCGGGCAGAGGACACGGAACAGGCGGCCAAGGCTCCACCTTTCTCTCATAGGCAGTTTGGCTACATCCGAGTCCTGCCGGTTCAGGCGGTTGAGAGCCCTGGGGGACAAGCCAAGGTGCAGGCGGTCAGTTCCCTGGGCACACAGCGTGCCCTGGGGTGGGCAGTTCTGAAGGGTCTGGTCCTTGACTAGGCGAGGGTGTGCTCCCGGGAGGGACAGCCCATGGGGTCCTCCATCCTAAAAGCTTTTTAAAAAATACATATTGTATTGATTTCAGAGAGCAAGGCAGAGGGAGAGAAAAAGATAGAAACATGAATGATGAGAGAGAATCATTGATTGGCTGCCTCCTGCACACACTCTTCTCCCCACAGGGGATCAAGCCTGCAACCTGGGCATGTGCCCTGCCCGGGAATTAAACCATGACTTCGGGTTCATAGGTCGACACTCAACCACACTGAGCCACACTGTCTGGAATGATTTTTTAAAAAAAATGTATTTTATTGATTTTTTACAGAGAGGAAGGGAGAGGGATAGAGAGTTAGAAACATCGATCAGCTGCCTCCTGCACACTCCCCACTGGGGATGTACCCGAAACCAAGGCACATGCCCTTGACCGGAATCAAACCTGGGACCCTTGAGTCCGCAGGCTGATCCTCTATCCACTGAGCCAAACTGGTTAGGGCTGATTTTTTTTTTCTTTTTTTTTTTTTTTTTTAAGAAAGGGGAATGGAGAGGGAGAGAGAGAAATATTGATGTGAGAGCAAAAGTGAAACTTTGATTGGCTGCTTCCTTCACACTTCCTACTAGGGATCCAGCCTGCAACTCGGGCAAACCAGCAACCTCCAGGGGCATGGGGCGACCCCCAGCCAACTGCCACACCAGCCAGGGCAAGAGGATATGTTTTCATTGACTTGAGAGAGAGAGGAAAGAAGGGAGGGAGACAGAGAAAGATCAATCGGTTGCTTCCTCCCATAGGACCCCGACCAGGGATCAAACCTGCAACCTAGGTATGTGCCCTGACTGGGAATCGAACCCGAAAACTTTTGGTTTACAGGGCAGCGCTCCAACTGACTGAGCCACCCGGCCAGGGCAGCTGGAGGGTTTTACAGGCGGGAACTTCGGGAAGGTCGTGTGGGATTATCTCAACAGAATATCCACCAGCTTTATGCCGAGGCACCAAAATGGGATTTGTCCCCCTGGCTTCATCTGTCCTTGGGTGGGGTTGGCACAGAGGGCACTGACTGGGTTTCCGCTGTCTGTGTCCCTGAGGGGGTGATTTAAGCTGTTCACCTCTGGTTGGGGAGAAGTGTGAACCATTATTCTTAAGTGTCCTTGCGTAAGAAGGTAGGGTTTGCAGTTCACTAGATGGCTGTAAACTGCTTGTGTGTGTGAACTGCTTGGCCGTTTAACTATCTGCCTCAGTTTCTCTGTTCCGCTCGTCCTGGCTTACTGGCCTGTCTCAGAAAGACACAGCAATGTGTGTGAGTGACCCCTCCGGGCGCTCCCTCCTCCTGGCAGCTCGGATGTCAGGTCAAGAGGGGAGCTGAGGTTTTCAGCCATCATATACTAGGTTCCTCATAGGCCACGTGGAATGAAAAATAATATCGACTCGGTGTTTCATTGCCAGAAAGGATTAATTTGGGGAAAAATAAAAAGGTTGGGGTAGACCCAGGACTAGGCCAGGAGCCTGGATGAACCAATCAAAGGTGGAGCCCCAACCAGCCGGGAGGTTCTGCGCCCCAGGCTTCTGCTTCCTGTTCCAGGAGTCCATGAGCCGAGGGCGGGGTCCCCTCGAGAGGAGTCAGGGGTCGCCCGAGGGGAGACGCAGGGCTTCGTTGCCCCAGGTCTGTCCCCAGGTCCCTTCACTGCATCACTCCTGGTCTCAGCCCCACTCCCTCCTGGCTCAGTCCTGGGATTTATCCTGGGAGTTGTTTCGCCCACTCAGCCTGCATCAGTGAGAAGCCCTCGCCACCTGCCCCATCTGACAGCTGCAGGCAGTCCCTGCAGGGGCTCCATCCCGAGGCCCAGAGGGCCAGCCTGCGAGTCTTCTGCCAAGTGCAGGTGGCTTTATGTCCTACCTCCACAAAGCCCGGGTGCTGCAGTACCTACCCTCACAGCACGCCCTGGTCTGAAGGGGCCTTGAAATCTGGGGATGCGGAGGCTGGGTTAAATTTTCCTCCCTCCCCAAACCCTCTGTGTGCGTGCGCGAGCGCGCGCGCGCGCACACACACACACACACACACACACACACACACCCTTGGGCACTATCTATGCAAACTTGAAACACCTATTCCTTTTGACAACAGCTATACCTCTAGGAATTTCTCTTAAAGGGTATCTTCCCCCAAGTGTACAAAGAAATATGTGTACGTGGGAAGTTCATTACCTTGGACAACCTGTGGATTTAATTAATAAGTGATGGTGCATTCATACAATGGGAAAAAAGGTTGCAACCATTGTGTGCAGACATTGCAAGCTGTGTGCACACTGCTCCATGTGCTTAGGTGGGGAAGTGTATGTAGAGGGAAGAGGAAGTTAAACGGAAGGGCAGTTAGGGCCAGAGAGCTTTATTGCCAGCACGTTTTCTTCTGCAGGGCTCTCCTGGTGACGCATAGGACTCCTCCCATGAGCCCTGGCTCCTCCCACAAGCCCTAGCTCCTCCCACAGGCCCTGGCTCCTCCCATGAGCCCTAGCTCCTCCCACAGGCCCTGGTTCCTCCCACAGGCCCATGTTCATGAGCCTCAATCATAATATTTATCAACCAAAATGTCATTATGCGGCACATGACTGTATTCCCACCCGTGGACTGGGCATCCGCCCTAAGAAAATGCCGGTTCTCCACCCAATTGTGAATGTGTTCTGTGCAACACGACTTGTAATATCAAAACCTGCGAAGCCACCCGAAGGCCTGGCCGTGGAGGAGACGGAGCAGGCTTCATGTGCAGCCATGGAAGTGTCCGCGTGGCTGCAGGGAGCCCGGGCATGGGTGGCAGCGCCGTGCTCTGGGGAAGGGCAAGCGGATTCTGTGCCGCTGATTGCAGTGGTGTGTGCGCATAAGGCGCAGAGGACAAGGACTGAAAAGATGGGAAAGATGCTGAGTTTACAAAAGAAGAAAAAAGAGGGGGACCCTGAGACCTTTAAGTTATATAAATTCATAGTGAAAGAGACACCAAGCTGCAGCAAACGAAGCCTCGGGGAGTGTCTGCGAGTGGCTGGCCCGGGCCCACAGGGTCCGCTGGCTCCAGCTCCGTTTCTGCAGCACTGGGTTCATACCAACCTTTTCCACTTACTCCCTGCCCCTCGCTTTTCAGGCCCTGTCTTCTGTCTCCTTTTGGCTTACTTTTGCAATACATTCCAGAAGCAGCCCTCTGCTAAGCAGCAGGAGGCCATTGGAGATTAGAGTCACCCTTGTTTTCTGCAGTGAGAGAGGCACTGGGTCATGGTTTGGAAGTCGGTGCAGAAAAGATGTGCTCCCCCACCCCCACCTCAAAGCAGGCCTTCCAGGATGTGAGGGTCTGGGCCCATCCGCAGAGCTGAAAACTCTCCCCGAGATGCGGGTTTGGGGAAGGGAAGAGGGCTGCCATCTGAAACATCAGGGGCCGGGACCGGTGAGGTCCCAACATCGCAAATTGGACCCGCGGAGGTGCTGGCCGGGTGGCTGCGGAGGGGAGGGCTAGGAGCTTCCCTAGGAGCCAAGAAAACAGTGTCGTCTGCGCCCCAGGCCCAGGAGACCTTTTCCCAGGAGGAGCTGAGAGGGGGCAGCAGCAGCGAGTCCTCAGGCACCTGTTCTCTTCCCTCGGGAGTGGGAGTCAGGTAAACCCACCTCTTGGGCCACATGAGCTCCCAGAGAGAGAGGCTTTCCCAAGGTGCCCTGGGTTTTCTGGGCCTGAGGGCAGGTGGGAGGTGGTTTTAATTAATGGAAGGAAATAAGAGTACAAACCTGCAGCTAAAGCATTAGAGCAGGGGTCCTCAAACTACGGCCCGCGGGCCACATGTGGCCCGCCGAAAACATTTATCCGGTCTGCTGGGTGTTTTTGCCGCCGCTGTGTGCATAGGAATTTGTTCATAGGTTTTTTTTAAACTATAGTCCGGCCCTCCAACGGTCTGAGGGACAGTGAACTGGCCCCCTGTTTAAAAAGTTTGAGGACCCCTGCATTAGAGCGACTCCTGCTGGCTGCTGGAACCGCGAGGAAGAATAGCTCAATGGCCCCAAAGCTGGGCTTGCCCTCCTGGCGGAGGCTTCATAGAATTCAGGAATTAACGTGCTCTGCAGGCCGGTAGCATGTCACTCAAATCCCAGATCCCGCTGGTCTGGTCGGATGGTCTTATTTCAGCCTCAGCTGCTCCGCCTGTGGAATTTCTTGCTGGCTATTGGAGGCTGTATTCTCTCCAGTTCTCATTATGAATCTAGGATAGCAAGAGGCTTATCTCAGAAGGCAGCCTCTGAAAATCTCAGAAAAAAATATACATGTGATCTGTGGCATGAGAATCTAAAGTGAGAATAGATTTGGAAAGCTAGGAAGCTTTTAAAAATGTGATTCTGAGAGCAGTTACCAATGGGCTTTTCAATGTTTTCAAGAAACCCACCAGGACCTGCACATTCCCTGTGGGAGCTGGCAGTGCTCCCTGAACCCTGGCGCCTCACTTCTAATGAGTTGATTCAGACGGCGGGTGGAGGGGGGTGCCCCAGGAATCGCACTCCTCTCCCTCTGTGATGGTTGGCATTCGTATGTAACTTTTTGTTTTCTGTCTCTTTCCAGTTCCTGGCCCAGTTGATGGTGTTTCTGATCAGTTTCATAAGCTCCGTGTTCTGCGGCCACCTGGGAAAGCTGGAATTGGATGCGGTCACACTTGCAATCGCAGTACGTGCGGGACTGTTCTGACATGTCCGTAGTATTTACAAAAGCCATCTGTACGCGCTGCCTCTTGCTATGCTCAGGAATGACGCAGGTTAGCAGCTTAAACCAATGCGGATGTGTTAGCGTCAGTGCTGGAGGTCAGAAGTCTGAAATGGGCTCCACTGAGCTCACTGAATTCAGGTGTTGGCAGGGCTGTAGCCTTAGTTCTCCTTTGCCTGTAACTTCACATAGTCCCACACCAAGGGTGAAGGGAGAGGAGTGCTGGGAGTCTGCGGGTGGAGACAGGGACCTCTTTGAGGGGCCTTCATTCTGTCTACCACATCAGCTTATGTGTAATCCATGGAGATCTGGCTCCCATTCTGGGTCCCACATCTGGGAGAAGGGAATCGGAAAAGAAGGGTTGAACGCTGACTTCAGAGGAAACTGTGGACAGGGCCTGGCTGGAGGGGCCCGTGGGGGCGTGAAGTCCCGAGAGCATGAGCGCACGTGTGGGAGCGCTTTCTCCGGAGCCACGGGAAGGAGCCGGAGCACTCCTCCGAGCCCGTGACCAGCCGGTCGTAGTCCAACATGCAGAGTGAGTACTGAAAAGCAGCTGAGGTCAGGAGGGTGCAAGTGTTTGAAGGCCTCGCACCCTCTACTCCAGGCACCATGGCTAACCTGGAGAACAAGGACCAGATGACACACGGAAGAGAAGTTTACAGGCCCCCTATTGCCAGCGGTTAAGTGTGGCATTTTGACAAACAAAGGCAAGACCCTCCATCAACAAAAAGATTATGATTTGATTTATTGCAATAGCCGCTTTATTACAATGTTCTGGAACCAAACCTGCCATATCTCCAAGGCATGTCTGTGTAAAGAAAATAAAGGAGAGTGATGTCAGAGGAACAGCGGTGTGAGAGAACCCTTTGGTTTCTTCCCTTAGAGTTTTAACAATTTGAACAACTCTAACTCAGCATGGGATTCCCTGCTCAAGGTACAGGCACAGCTGAGAGATCTTCACATTGTAGCATCTAAAGGTGGGCGAGTGGGAACAAACGGGGGAGGCGGAAGGGAGGAGGGCTCACAGGAGCCATGGATGCAGGGGAGGGGAGGAATCCCGTTGTGGCTGGTGTTTCCTTCAGCCGGGAGGAGCAGAGAGACGTGGTGAGCACTCCTGCAGAAGTGAGCGACATGAGCTGCAGCTGATCCAGCGACCTGGGCAGGACGCAGCATTGGGCAGCTGCTGCAGTTGTCTGGCAGTTGGAATTCAAGGCAGAGAAGCAAAGCCATGGAGTACTGCTACCTGTAGACTCCCAGCACTCCTCTCCCTTCACCCTTGGTGTTGGTTGTGGAGCACATTATTCATAAACCCGAGAACTGGTACGGTAGGGTCACTGTTTCCCCTGAGCAGAGGATGTGCTCTGTGACTGGTCCCTAGTTGGGGCTCAAGGAGGCCTTTGCAGAGGTCCAAGGTTGCCATTACTGGGAGGGAAAAACAAAGAAGGCGGCTGGGTCCCCTCAGCCAAACCCAATTCCATGCATGGCAGCTGTACTGATGGCAGCCAGAACCACTGCTGGGGGTCAGCATTCTGATTTTACAGAGCTAAAAAAAAACTTGTGATTCATTGCCACCTACTAGAAAATAATAAAAAGACCTCTTTGTAGTAATCAGCTAGAAAAGTGGCACTCATACATAGATGCCTAGACAGAGAAGAAATCCATCTAATATCATGAGTAACCAAGGTAGTGAGGCAGCTCAGAAACAAAATGAAAAATCTCCAGAAAACAAACTTAAACACATGAAAATATGTGGTATAAATGACAGAGAATTCAAGATTGCTGTTCTGAAAATACTCAATGAGATGCGAGAAAATACAGACAGGCAATTTAATGCATTCAGAAAACAAATTAAGAAACAAAACCTTTACCAAAGAGATTGAAACTTTATTAAATAACTAAACAAAAATTCTGTAGGTGAAGAACTCAATAAAAGAGTTTAAGAATGAACTAGTGAGCATAGGAAATAGAGCAGACCAGATGGAGGAAAGAATTACTTTATCTAAGCGAGAAATATCGAAATGATGCAGAGGGAAGAAGAGAGAAACTTGAGCTTAAAAAAATATATGAAAGAACCCTACAAGAACTATCCAACTCCAACAGAAAGAGCTGTCTGAGAATAATAGGGCACACCAGGAGGAGAAGAGAGGGAGAAGGGAATGGAGAGCCTATTCAAACAAATAGTGGACGAGAACTTCACAAACCTATGGAGAGAAGTAGACCCAAGAAGCAAGCAGAACACCTAGTTAACCTCAATCCCAAGAGGCCTTCTTCAAGGCACATTGAATTAAAACTGTCAAAAATTAATGACTTTGCAAGACAGCCAGGGAAAGGAGGAAAGTAACCAATAAAGGAAATCCCATTAGGTTATCATCAGACTTCTCAGCAGAAACTCTACAAGCCAGAAGAGAGTGGAACCAAATATTCAAACATCTGAAAGAGAGAAATTACCAGCCAAGAATAATAGCCAGCAAAGTTATCCTTTAAATATAAAGGAGAAATAAAGGTTTTTCCAGACATACAGAAGCTGAGGGCTTTTTATCACCAGAAGACCTCCATTGTAGGAAATACTCAAAGGGGGCATCCTACCTGAAACAAAGAACATAAGGTCACAACACTACGGGTAAGATCACCAAAACACTTACAGCATTAACAAGGATAATCTGCGACAACAAAAACATAAAAGGGGAGAGGGAAGGTCTGAATTTGCAAAGAATGATGAAGATCAGATGCATTCAAAAGAAAAAGGACTACAGTATATATGAAACTTTATATTTTATAAATCTAACTAGAGGCCCGGTGCACAAAATTCATGCACTTGGGTGGGGGAGTGGTCCCTCAGCTCAGCCTGCACCCTCTCGCAGTCTGGGAGCCCTCAGACTCCCCGGGGGGAGTGGGCCTAAGCTGGCAGTCAGACATCCTTAGCGCTGCCATGGAGGCGGAAGAGGGTCCTGCCACTGCCGCTGCGCTCACCAGCCGTGAGCCCGGCTCCTGGCTGAGCGGCGCTGCCCCTGTGGGAGTGCACTGACACTGTCAAAAATTAATGACAAAAAAAAATTCTCAAAGCAGCCAGGAAAAAGAAGAGAGTAACTTATAAAGGGAAGTCCATTAAGTTATCATTGGACTTTCTAGCTGAAATGCTACAAGCCAGAAGAGAATGGAACCAAATATTCAAATTACTGAAAGAGAGAAATTACCAACCAGCAATAATATATCCAGCAAAGTTGTCCTTTAGATATGAAGGAGAAATCAGATTTTTTCCTGACATACAGAAGCTAAGGGAATTTATCACCAGAAGGTTTCCACTGCAGGAAATACTCAAGGGAGTTATTTACCTGAAACAAAAGGTCACAAAACTATGAGCAAGATCCACAATAACTTTACAAATAAACAGGGATAATTTGTGACAATAAAAGCATGAAAGGGGAGAAGATAAAGGTCTGAATTTGCAAAGGAGGATGGGGATCAGATACATTCAAATGAAAAAGGATTATTGTACTAGTATATATGAAACTTTATTTTTCTTAAACTTAAAGGTAACCACACACACACACACACAAACCCAAAACTGAGACACATGGCTTAAAAGAAGAGAAAACAGGAAGGAAGTATGGAATACCACCACACAAAAACAAGAGAAAAAAAACACAAGGAAAATAACCAATGGAGGCACAGAGCTACCAGAAAACAGAAGATAAAATGGCTATAGGAAATCCTCATACATCAATAATTACCCTAAATGTCAATGGACTGAATTCACCATTAAAGGGGCACAGAGTAGCAGAGTGGATCAAAAAAACAAAACCCATCGCCCAGCCGGCGTGGCTCAGTGGTTGAGCATCGAACTATGAACCAGGAGGTCACAGTTCAATTCCCAGTTAGGGCACATGCTCAGGTTGCAGGCTTAATCCCCAGTGTGGGGCGTGCAGGAGGCAGCTGATAAGTGGTTCTCTCTCGTCATTAATGTTTCTATCTCTCTCTCCCTCTCTGAAATCAATAAAAACATATTAAAACACACAAAAACAAACAAAACCCATTCATTTGCTGCCTTCGGGAGAAACAGCTAAACTACAGACAAAGGTAGATTCAAAGTGAAAGGGTGGAAAATGATTCTCCAAGCAAATCACATCCACAGAAGAGCAGATGTAGCCATACTTGCATCTGACAAAATAAATGTCAAGATAACAAAGGTATCAAGATACAAAGATGAAAATTTTATAATGATAAAGGGGACATATGTCAAGAAGACAAAACACTTACCAATATATATGCACCCAATCAGGGAGAACCAACATATATAGAGCAACTCCTAATAGAAGACATACAAATGCCAACAGATGTGGAAATATGTTTAACCTCACTAGCTATTAGGGAAACGCAAATCAAAACTACAATGAGATATCACCTCACACCTGTTAGAATGGCTGTTATCATTCAGATAAGTATTAACAAATTTTGAGAAGGATGTGAAGAAAAATGAACCCTCATTCACTGCTGGTAGGAATGTGGGCTGGTACAGCCACATGGAAAACAGGCTGGTGCTTCCTCAAAAAATTAAGAATAGAGTTAACATATGACCTAGCAATCCTCTCCTGGGCATCTACCTGAAGAACTCAAGAACATTTATTCACAAAGCTCTATGCACCCCTATGTTCACTGCAGCATTAGTCACAGTGGCCAAGACATGGAGACCACAAAGTGTCCTTCCATAGAGGACTGAGGACTGGGTAAGAAGATGTGGTTCATACATGCTATGGAATACTAATCAGCCATAAGAAAAGATGAAATATTGTCATTTGCAACAACATGGATGGATCTTGAGAATATTATGCTAAGTGAATAAGTCAGTTAGAAAAGCTAAGAATCATATGATTTCACTCATGTGGGATATAAAACTAAAATGCATAGACACAGACGACAGTCTGGTGGTTACCAGAGGGAAGGGTGTGGTGGGGTGGTGGGGGGTAAAGGGGCCACATATATGGTGACAGAAGATGATTTGACTTTGGGTGAGGGGCACACAATGCAATACACAGATCATGTATCATAGAAATGTACACTTGAAACATGTATGATCCTACTAACCAATGTTAACTCAATAAATTTAATTTAAAAAAGAAGAAACCGAGACCTCTACTCCCATCCCAATGACTTGTCTGTCTTACTGAGAGTCCTAATCTAGAAATTAAACTGGAAAATGAAATCCTGTATCCTATTATCTAACCCTAAAGTCAGAAAGAACCCCAAATCCTCTCTGTATCTTAGATCAGATCCCCCCAAACCAGAAAGAGATGTCCTTGACCTCCGCCAGGGGTGAGCTGGCTCTGCATGGCCAAAGGGCCCGCCCACTTGCTCTCAGCAGGCGCTCCTGGCCTCCCCGACGCCCCTTGCTCCTGCGGACAAGGCACACATTCGCCTTCCCTGCCTGCTCCCTCCAGGCTTTGAGCTGCATCGGTGAACCTTGCGAGACTAACACTCTGCACTAGCCCCAGCATAAGCAGAGTATTTTGCTTTCAGGGAGCAAGTGGACAGCCCCAGGCTTCATTTTCCTTTTTGGTTTTTGCTGTTTGGAAATTTGGGGGGAGATAGAAATGTACTCAGCTGGCCTCCAGCAGATTCTCTTTGGTCAAGGACGTGCAAGAAAGCTGGTGCTCTCAGGCTGGGCTGGTGTGGCTGCTGCCCCGGCAGCTCCCTGCAGACTCTGGCTGAGGTAGCAGGTTCCAGACAAGGCCAGCCATGCCCAGAGGTCCTGCTGTGCCCCTCCCTGACTTGGGGCTGCAGCCATGGGCTCCCCAGAGCTCCGGAAACCCCAGGGCTTGCTGACCTAGTCAAACCAGCACATGTGGGAGCCCCTGGCATTGGCCTTGACTTCAGAGACCGGCTTCTGCACTCCAGAGTCCTCCGGGACATTGGAACAAGCCAGGCTTGGAGTTGAGCAAGTGGCCTTACCCGCCTGGCGTCCTGCCCCGTTGCCTGCCCCTTAGGAAGGATGCGCGTTCCTCTGAAATTAGGGAGCAAAATGCTGAAGATTAAAAAAGAACACGGCTGAGTAGAGCCTCTGGCCTACACGTCTCTTCTCTAACCGTGTGCACGTCCTCTGTGCCCGCCCCGCGGTCTCTGCCGGCGGAGGCCCTGCGGGCTCTCCCAGGTGGCCGGCATCCCCTCCTGTCTTCCCTGAACGCTGAGCGGCCTCTCCTTTGCATCTCTTTCCAGGTGATCAATGTCACTGGTATCTCCGTGGGATTTGGCTTATCTTCTGCTTGTGACACCCTCATGTCTCAGGTAAATGGGGCCCAGGCCACTCTCTCAGTGACCCTGGGCGTCTCCCTGGGTGGATCTGGAAGAGCCGAGTGCACAGAGGGACACAATCTGACACCCTGTGGCCTGCGGGCCTCGGGTTCCAGCTCCCCTTCCTGCTCCCTCTCAGGGTGGCCGGCGCCCCCTCCGGCTGTGCAGGTCGTGTTCATCTGCACGGCTCCCTCACACGACATTTTGACAGAAGAGGGGACATTTTATACAAGTCCCTTCTGCCGCTTTCCGCATCATTAAGAGTGGTTAGCCCGTGGCTCTCCAACGCTAGCGTCCATCAGCACCTCTGGGGCTTGTGCCTTGGTGGAGGGTTTCCTAAAAGCCCCTGGGCCAAGGTCTCGAGGAAGAGGCTGACCCTCCGCCTTCCATCGAGCTTGTCACAGGGGAGGTGTGGCTGGCAAGTCCTCTGTGCCCGGTGGGGCAGGGCAGGATGGAGAGGGCACTGCAGCGGCCCGCCCAGGTAGGGGAAAGACCTTGCATGCTTGCCAGGGCAGGGCCAGGGCATGTTCTGGCCACACACACCAGCAAGCACGGGGAGGGCCCGTCAGACGTCCCTGTTCCGTCCCAGAGCGAGCTGCGGCCTGGCAGCACCAGGCAGTCACACCATGGCAGCGTCTCTCCACAGTCCACCCTGTGCCTCTCCCGGGAGGTGCCCTGGGTGTCAGCAAGGGCCTTCATTAGCAGGGAGGTAACTCGCTTAGTCGCCAATGGCGCACATTAGGGACACAGTCCACAGCAACAACATCGAGGTGCAAGCAAAGGAAAAACACTAAAAGCAGGAATCCAGGTATTAGTAACGATGTTTTCCATCATGGCCCTGAGGATCCGGGCTGGGTGCTAGGTCACCTGGACATGGGGTTTGGGCACTGAGGCGTTTACGTGAGCCTTCATATGTGTTAGCAAAGAAGAAATATGAGCAGATTCATCTGGTATAAAAAACACCACATTCAGACCTGGCCTATTTGGCTCAATGGATGAAGTGTCAGCCTGCAGATTGAAGGGTCCCAGGTTTGATTCCAGTCAAGGGCACATGCCCAGGTTGTGGGCTCGATCCCCAGTGTGTGGCATGCAGGAGACAGCCGATCAATGATTCTCTCTCATCGTTGATGTTTCTATCTCTCTCTCCCTCTCCCTTCCTCTCTGAAATCAATAAAAACAACAACAGTAACAAACAACAGCACACCCATTCAGTGGGGTGCCCCTCTGCCCCATAACTGTTGGATGCCACAAGAGCAGCACAAGTCCAAGGTCAGTAGGGACTTGAGTTGGGAGGTCTTCCTCTGTGAGTGTGACACTTGCAGCCTGGTCTTTGGATGTTGACGTAGCCACGGCCTTGGGAACCTGGCCAGGCTGTGCAAGCTCTACATGTTGGCCAGGGGGGTGGTGCTTCTTGGCACGAGGAAGTAAATAGAGGGAGGATTAGCCAAGCTGGGACCCCAGGACCCCTCCCTTCTCCCCTCTTTCATTGGTGTGTGTGCCAGTCCACATGTGGCTTATCTCCATGGGTCCCTACTGCCTTAGAGTGACAGGGTCCCACAGGAGACTGAGAAGTTCCTCTCCATCCAGGGACGTGAAGTAACTAACCCTTCGCACAGAATCTCATTGCAGATTCCAGGAAACGGTCCCTGTTCCAGGGACAGCAGGTCGGGTGTCCTTATGACCACGCCCTCTGGCCCAGGGCCAGCATCTGTGCCTTCGTTTCCACACCTTCACCGTATAGGGCCTCTGGCTGAGTCCCTAATGTGGCTGCGGGGCAACAGCACCCACACTTGGTTATTTAAATGTAGTAAGGCCTGGGGCCCTGGCCAGGTAGCTCAGTTGGTTAGAGCATCGTCCCAATATGCCAAGGTTGCGGGTTCGATTCCCAGTCAGGCACATATAAGAAGCAACCAATGAATGCATAAACAAGTGGAACAACAAATCTCTCTCTTTCTCTTCCCCTTCCTCTCTCTCTAAAAAAGCAACAACAACCAAAACAACAACAACAAAGCCCATAAGTGTTGAATGCCTGCAAAAGCACCTTTGTTCACCCGGCCAACGTAGGTTTTCCAGCTAATAATTTTATCTGTTGCTCAAGGACATCATCTTTCTGACTTATCCGCCCCACTGCCTGCGGTTACAGGGGAGGTGGAGCCTCCATTCAGTACCGTGTTCTTCTGTCCGTGCTTGCACATCATGTCCTCTGAAATGTGACCCCACCGTCACTCTCTACGACGGGGGTCCCCGTACATAGGTGGGACTTGGACTTTTCTAGTCCCTTTGTGGGAGCAGCCTCATTAACTGCCATCCTGTTCAGACACTAGGCTGTCCACTTCTTCAAGTTCCCATTTGCTGTGTCTGCTGATGGTCAGTTGCTGAGGCACACATTTTTGCCACGGCGTCTGCCTCCTGCTTACCTGGAAGTGTAGACGCCTGTGGGCAGGGGCAGGAAAAGGTCAGCTCTGCCCCCAGCTGTTGCCAGTGAGCCCAGATGTGTCCCCCGTCTCCTGTCCTATGTGGGCTTGCTCATTGCTGTCCACCCCTCTGCCTCCCATGGTCACAGCCCACCTGGCTGTGCCAGGGTCAGTGATCAGACAAACCACTTTTAGCTCAGCCCGCTGGCTCCTGCGCTTTGTTCCCGCTTCCACCCGGATAGGATCAGTGGGCGGCGGAATGGCGACAGCACCCAGCAGACAGATTGTCCCGCTAGAGCCATCAGTTCCAGCCAGAATGTCCCTCCTTTCTTGCAGGTCACAGGGGCTGACACAGGGTGGGCAGGAGCTTTGGGAGGTTCTGTGTTCAGCAGGCGCAGTAGCAGTGGAGCCCATGGAGACAGGACTGTTTGGCAGGGCGCTCCTCTGTAAAGGCATGCTGTGCGGTCAGCATCGGAGGCTGACCCCTGGCAGGGTCGGGCGATGGAACATGGTGACCCTCTCCTTGATGGGAAGGGAAATTCTTATGACAATTGGTTTTCTCTCAGGGAGTGTCTGACCTCTGCCCTCTTCCACAGTTGGGACCAAAATCCAGGGGCACTCTTTCTCTTTGGCATTTTTGCCACAATGCCCAGCTCATGCCTCCAGGGTGACTGAAACATGTCATTCACATGGCACCGCACCTGTGCGATTCCAAGAGCTAATGTGTTTGACCAGCGATGTTTGTTGTTGTTGTTGTTTTTGAGAGAGAGAGAGAGAGAGAGAGAGAGAGAGAGAGAGAGAGAGAGAGAAAGGGAGTCGGGGGAGAGAAGAGAGAAGCATCCATGTGAGAAAAACATCAACCAGCTGCCTCCTGCATGCCCCCCTACTGGGGATTGAGCTCATAACCTGGGCATGTGCCCTGACCCGGAATCGAACTGGCGACCTTTCAGTGCACAGGACGGTGGCCAGCCACCTGAGCCACACCGGCCAGGACCACCAGCATTTGCTTTCTCAAAGGCAGCCTGCTGTTCTGCCCCCGCCCGGCCCATCTATGTCCTTTCCTAACCAGGCAGTAATGGGCGAAGGCATTACACTCAGTGGGGTATAAGAGTTCACCGATACCCCAGAATTCCTGTGAAAGACTGTCCCTCTTTCACATGTTTTGCTATTGGACAGGACTGTACTTTGTCTGTGACAGCCTTGGGGACAAAGCAGGTCTTAGCCAACCACGTGATGTGATTCCTCAGCACGTTCCTGTGGGGCCGCAGAGCCTGCAGGGCCTTCCGCAGCAGAGGCGGACCTCCGCAGGTTAACGTTTTGTCATCAGCGTAGTAGCCCATTTCACAGAGGCTGGGAGGGAAAACAGGGACAGGCCCCGAGCCACCATCCATGGCCTGCGGTGGGGCTGTGTGAAGGGGAGTACTTGGAAGGTACACCCCACATGGGAGACACATTTCGGAACAGTTGTTGGTCACTGCGAGGGCATCAGTAGGGGAGGCTGCAACCCCTCCAGAAAGCGTACACACGCCAAGAGCGCGTTGGTGACCACACTGGCGGCAGCTGGATGAAGTCCAGGTTCAGCGTTCGGGGGCGCGAAGGGTGCAAACAGTGGGAAATGGGCTTGGCAGGGGCCGAGGGGAACCAAGAGGCCACCTGGTCTCCCAAGGCCCCAGTTGTTCACCCACCTGGTTGCTCTGATTCGGGAGCAGCCTGTTGCCATGGTTACAAGGACCTCAGGGCGATGGAAGCCCGGCAGCGAGGGCTTGTTTTTGCAGAAACAGGATAGACTTCATCCCCACGGGTCACAATCTGACACTCAGGGTCAGTCCCTTCGGTGTGGCCACAGTTTTGATGACAGGCATCTTATGTCAGGAGAGCTCAGATTCCCAGCAATTTCACGGAATTTCTGGAACATTTATGTACAACTACAACATAAAGAAGGCTCAATGTTATTTCTTTTTTTTAATTTTCTTTTTTTTATTATTTTATTAAATCTTTATTGTTCAGATTGTTACATTTGTTCCTCTTTTTCCCCCCCATAACTCCCTTCCTTCCAGCTCCCACCCCACCCTCTGCCCTCACTCCCCACCCACTGTCCTCATCCATAGGTGCACGATTTTTGTTCAGTCTCTTCCCGCATCTCCCACACCCCTTTAAGTGTTGCTTTTCCACTAGCATTGGCATCATTTTCAAACTTGTGCATGGAATCTATGTTTTCAAGAAAATTGTAAGGCTTTTATTTTTTCAGACCTTGTAAGTCTTCATGGTAATGGCCTCCTTTCGTTCTTTCAGGCCTGAAGACCATCGTGGGGGCCCTGATCCAGTCTGTGAAGAAGCTCTCAGACGTCATGATCCTGACGGTGTTCTGTCTGAGCGTGTTTGCGCTGATCGGGCTGCAGCTCTTCATGGGCAACCTGCGGAATAAATGTGTACAATGGCCTCCCACCAATTCTTCCCTGGAGGAGCATAGTATAGAGAAGAATATAACTGTGAATTACAATGGCACACTTGTAAATGAAACTGTCATTGAGTTTGACTGGAAATCATATGTTCAAGATTCAAGTAAGAATTACTATTATGTAGATTTATTTTTCATTGTTGATCTGCCTTCCATTTAGGCATAGATATATATTTTTTTAAATGGTTGCATCACGGTTTGTAATCTCTTAATCACCATATCAATGTTTTGCACATACATTTAATTAATTTATTCATAACTATTCTAATTTTGACTCCCAAATGGCATTTTCTGTTGTATCATCATAAGGGATGCTGAAGAATTCAGTTAGAAATTTTCCTAGGATCTTTGGTTGCTGTACATTCTCCTTGTGCTGATTGAGACAATTAAATAACATAAGAATTTCTAAAGCCCTTTTGAACTGTCAAGTACTATCCAAATGTAACCCATAAAACGTTAATTACAGAATGCCTTTTATGTACTAGAAACTGTACAGGATGCTGGGAAATTAATGGTGATTACACATGGCTTCAGGGTGCTTATGTTTTAGTAGGTTATTTTTATTGTCATTTTATGGAAATCAAGTGAGACCTAAAGGCAAACATTACTCTTATACTATATTTGTAGAATAAGAATTAAAAGTAGTATCACATCAAGTAGAAGGGAATTGGAGTCCATTTAAATTTAAAAAAGAGTAATAAAAATGTTAAATGAATCAGTGGATTTATGGGAATTCAGTTTATTTTTATTTCAAGAGTTCAGACAAAATAGTCAAATGTTTAAATAGTCTACTTTAAAGGATGGAAAAATAATTGGCCTAATATTCTTTCACTTTTAAAAGTGACAAGAAAGTAAGTCAAATTTTCTCTTTTATTTAATTTTAGTATCTGCCAGTAGCAATATTTCAAAGGCAGAGAGAGTTAGAACATGATTCATGGGTAACAGGAATGTTCTTTTAGAGAAAAATATTAAATATATGAAACTTTATCTTTAGATGTACTTATCTTAAATTTAGTTATATCTTTATTATTTTAAGGTGATGCTTAGGGAAAATTTTTAGTATTTTAAGGTGATATTTAGGGAAAAATCAAAGAAGGGAAGAAACATTAATGACTGTTTTATAAAAGGTTACTGGTGGTTTGATAATTCTTTTTTTAATATATTTTATTGATTTTTTACAGAGAGGAACTGAGAGGGTTAGAGAGTTAGAAACATCGATGAGAGAGAAACATCGATCAGCTGCCTCCTGCACACTCCCCACTGGGGATGTGCCCGCAACCAAGGTACATGCCCTTGATGGGAATCAAACCTGGGACTCTTCAGTCCGCAGACCGACGCTCTATCCACTGAGCCAAACCAGTCAAGGCTCAATGTTATTTCTTATTTGACAATGTTTCCCAAGTGGTTTCAACATTCCAGGTAAGCCTAGTCTAATATTGTTCTCTTTTAAGGAGAGAGAACAAACCTCGAGGCATCCCAGGGGCCCCGGAGTACTGCACAGCCTCTGCCAGAGGAAGACTCTGCCTTTGCATCCGCTTACTCCTGATACTGAAATCCGCGTCGGTGACGAGTTCAGCTTGCCCACACAGATTTCTGTTCTCGTTACTACTTTGCACAAACCTTCTATAAGTCTCCTTTTTTATATTCAGATTTTGTCCTGCTTTTCCTCTTTTCATTCTGAAACAACCAGCCTCACTTTAGGACAAACTTACTTTTCTTTCTCTCAGAAATATATTTTCACACCTTTTCCTTCTCTGACTGAAAGCATATATTATTTTCTTTTCATCTTAATTAGAATTATTAGCCCGTAGATAACTCAAAAACATGTCTGTTCTACATAAGTCAACAAACTTAAATCAGCTTTTATTTACCGAAGATTAATCTTCTGTGGTGAACTTGAAGTGTGTGTGTTTGTTTCTGCGTTTCTGAGAATTGTAGAGTAGCCAATCCTTGTAAGTGCTTGTTTGTTTTTGGAGCCAATTAAACACAGCTCACTTACAAGTTAGCAACACCACCCAGAGGTAGAAAACACCACACACTTAACACATGTGTAGACACACATGCACACACACAGCTGCAGGCAGACCTGTGGCCTCCATAAAAGAAGTGGATCTCGAGACCTTCCTCCCCCTCCCACCTTTACGTCAGTCCCGCTCTAATAGAGGCGTGGACAATATCCTATCATCTTTTTCTAGTTTCAGTTCATCCCCTAATTTTCTAACCCTGGCGGTCAGCCAGCCGCCCACCCGCGGGGTCAGCCCTCAGCCATGGCCGCGTGCTTGCCTTCCACGCCACAGCGTTTATTATAAAGAGAACTTCTTACACAAACCCATAAGATCAGCGGCACTTTCGGGCACCCCTGTGCTCACACTGCAGTCTAGCATATTGGTCGCCCCTCCCCACATGCAGGTCCTGGCCAACCCGGGATTTCCCCTGCGGATGCCTTTCCCAAGGCCCATTTCTGGGGTCTCCAGGCTGAGAGAAGTGTCCTGGGCTGAGAGACCAAAGAGAGGGGCTGACAACTCCGTTATTACACCAAGTTTACTAAGGGAACTTACAGAGGAGGAGCGTTTAGGGCAGTGGTATGATGCGGATATTCTCCACCCCGCGTAACAGGTGCTGAGGGGCTATATACACAGGGCAGGATGGACAGGGGTACTCGGGTGTGGCACCCGCCCCCACCCAGATAAGGGCAAATGCCTTGCATACTTCCTGAGGCAGGGCCACAGCCTGTTCCAGAACCAGCCCGCCTGATGCGACAGTCGTCCAGGGTCCTGGGATTGTTAGGAAGCAGCGTGTGGCCAGCATCCAGCTGGTGGGGGGGAGGCAGCAGTGGGCGGCGGTCAGGCCGTGGAGTAGTCTCCACAGGAGAGAAGCATTTTGACTTGTGCGTGGGCTGATTCCAGTGGTGTAAGTAGCTCCCTCTGTGGCAAGTTTCAGCCTCCCACACTTGTCACTGCACAGGGCGTGGGAAGGGATGTGCAGTTTGGCGTTGGTAAGCCAACAGCCGCTGGCCCCAGCCACCACCGTCCCTTCCCCCGGAGTTTCTGGTTAGAAGGCCTGTGTGGGGCCCAATATATTGCATTTCTAACAAGTTTCTAGGGATGCAACCCTAACTAGAAAGCTTTTATCTATCTATCTATCTATCTATTTATTTATTTATTTATTTTAAAAACATTTTTATTGATTTCAGAAAGGAAGGGAGAGGGAGAGAGAGACGGAAACATCAATGATGAGAGAGAATTATGAATCAGCTGCCTCCTGCACATCCCACACTGGGAATCGAGCCCAAAACCCCAGGCATGCACATCCCATGGGAATCGAGCCCAAAACCCCAGGCATGTGCCCTGACCGGGAATCGAACCATGACCTCCTAGTTCATAGGGCGATGCTCAACCACTGGGCCACACCAGCTGAGCAGGAAGTTTTTTAAAATTATGATATTTGGGCCCCACCCGGGACGGTCAAATCCAGACGATCTTCAGTGAGACCCCGCCTCAGTGTTTTGAGGCTGTTCCCAGGCGATTGTCAGGGACGGCGGAGTCTGAGAACCGCCGGCACGTACAGAATGCAGCCAAGTCTGTAGGGCCACTTGTCCTTCCTGAGGCGCGATCGAAGGCCTGTGGGGGGCGTGGGGCACTAATGGGATTGCTTTTGCTGTGTGCCCCCAGACGTACGGCAGCCCCAACAAGAAGCACGTGGGGGTCATCCTGCAGCGGGGCGCGCTCATCCTGCTGCTCTGCTGCTTCCCCTGCTGGGCGCTCTTCCTCAACACCCAGCACCTCCTGCTGCTCCTCCGGCAGGACCCGGCCGTGTCCAGGTAAGGCGGGCCGTGCAGGGCGGGAGGGCCATCCCAGCAGAAAGATGCTCCCATCCACGCCTGGCCTCTGGAAACGCCAAAGGCCAAGGCCACGGCCCCACACGAGGCGGTAAGCTTCCTCGGTTGATCCTGCCAGGCCTGGTGCTCGCACACCTGCCCCTGTGATCCAGAGCCCTCCCCTGGTGACTGCAAAGGCAGATAGTCTGCAGAGAAATACGACTTGCCAGCATCTCCATGAGAGGTGGTCGTTGAAGGTGTTCATTTGTGGTTTTGTGCTTATCGACCCTGGTTGGTATGAGCCGCCTCGGTGCTTTCAAAGCCCAGCGCTGCCGGGTCCTCCTTCCCACCCAGCACGCTGTCCTCATGGTCGGGGGCAGAGGTCACCTAGATGACTCTAACATGCTGCCAAGATTGAGCCCTGCCAGGGCAGTCCTTGTCTTAGACCCGCGGCTCTGACCCCAGGGGGCAGTTGGCAATGTCGGGAGACATTCTGTTATCAGAACTGGTATTAGGGCATCGCTACTGGTAGAAGCCCAAGATGCTACAAACCACAGGAAAGTTGCCCACGGCAGACAATTCAGCAGCCACAGTGCCGAGTTGGAAAAATGCCGCCCTAGACCCAAAGGCTTGGAAGAACCCAGAGAGGTAATTTGGGTTATGAGATGACAAGTTCTATTGTAAATGTGCGCATTTGCTGCAGCAGTTGAGTCCATTAATTTAGAAAGAGCCAAGGCTGCGAAAGGCAGTTACAGCTGGTTTGTCCTGCCTTCCTTTTCCTTGAGATGGAGACCTCCTCACTTTTATTTTCTTTTTATTGTATAGGCTTACCCATACCTATGTCATGATCTTCATTCCAGCTCTTCCTGTAAGTTTCCAAGTGTTAAGCTGTTTTCTTCTTGCGGTTCACTGAGAAAAAGCAGCTGAGATGCCCTTGAGCTCAATGAATTGGATCGCATGTGATACCCACATGTGATGTGGGCTCATTCCAGAAAGCGTGGCTTTACTTATGCTCAGGAAAGACACAGACGTTTGTCCCTCAGGAAATTCCAAGGTTCAGGTGGCTCCCGTGGGCACTGCCCTGCCTCCTGCAGCTGGAGGGGCTCTGGGGTCATGCAGGGAGTTCGGGCCTCCTCTTCGTAAGGGGACATCCTTCCGCGTCTCAGTCACCTGAGGCCTCACCCGGAATCTTTAGATTTGTTTTGCGCTTGCTGACTGTGATGGCACCGACCACGAGTGTGTGTTAATGTTTGACACGGCCATACAATTGGTCATAGCCGCCGTGCGGTTGGGGCTTGGCCGCCATGCCGTTGTGAGCCGCTTCATGAGGTTTTGGGGGGCCGCGTATACGATGCTGGTCCCATAAGATTGTAATGGAGCTTGTGGGGGAGGAGAAGTTTCCTCTACCCTCAGGGTTCTTCTGGCTGGTCTAATAATTAAATAGACATGAGACAGATTAGCAAGAGAAAATAACCACATTTAATACACACTGTGGACGGAAAAGGGGCCACATCTAAACCTGACAAGCTCAGGGGAGGCCTGCATGGCAGGACTTGCAAACTCAGATCTAAAGGAACCACACAGAATGGTCTGAAATCAAAACTTCCTGACTACAAGTGAGTCATGGCCAGTAGCCCTGTAGTCGGCCAGCATCTTCCCTAACAAAGGTCAAGCTTTACCTTACCTGAGCCTGTCTACTGCCTTTTTGCATCTAGGATAACATACCTTTGGAATGTCAGGGTAACCCCTTTTTCCAGACCCTCCAGGGCACAACCTCCCACCAGAGCAGGAGCCCACAGAGCCCCTCATTGTTACCCTGCTCCCCACATACCATCTCCATGTGTGTAAATGTTAACTGTTCACTCTGCCCACCAATGGAAGGAAGTTTGCATCTGTTCGTTTGACTCTCTACCCACCAATCCCAGCGGTTCCCCGAGTTGCTTTCTCCGCCTCCCTGCTCCGTCACCATGGCTCTCACAGATGCCCTCGCGTCTTCTCCTTTGGTTCTAATGCATGAAATAAGGTGCAGGTCGCCGTCCTCTGGGCATTCCTCACCCGTGGAGGCCCTGCTTCCTGCAGCTGCCACCAGTCTGGCTCAATAGACTCACAGAAATTCTCTAGAGTTTGGACATTTCTTATGTTGACACTACATATGAGTGGGAACGCCGGGTACACGAGAGTCAGAAACCCCACGTGCAGGGGATGCTCCGAGACAGACGGGGATCCAGGTACATAAGCCGTTCTGAGCTAGGGATGAGGCTGATGTCTTGGGGACTTCAAAGGGTCATTGCAGGATGACGAAAAGAGCAGATGTTCATGAAATAAAGGTTTTCCCTGCCATAGGGGTGGGCCTAAAAGGTTATCGTGATAATCTCTTATTACGGGCAACACCCCTAATTCAAGTTCTGGGTAGTTAAAGGGAGGAGCAGAAGTTTCTCTTGAGCCTGCAGTTAAAGTTCTCTTTAGCTCAAAACAATCTGCATACCACTGAGGCACATCGCGGGGTGACTTCTGCGCCCCACAAGCTGAAGCATTCCCATTGCCTGGTGAAGCTGCAGCTTCCTAATGTCGCAGCACAGCGCACCACACACACCGCTGTGCGACCGCTGCCCACAGTCTGCGGCTCAGTAACACCCTGTGCAGATTTGCAGCCTAGAGCTGTAGGGGACCATTTGTCACCAGAATGTGTCTCTTCGGCATGAGGGCTGTTTTAGGCCGGTTCCTTTTAAGAAACAGCAGACAAGGGAGAAGCTGACACCCAGTAGGAGCTGCCCTGTGTGAGGTGCGTTTACAGTGTAAGGACCTCTCCACTCGCAGGGTGTCTCCCAGGCTGTGCCAGGAGGAGGCGGGGCCTCATCCCCTGAAACTTACCTGGGAGCAGATGAGGACTGAACTCTGCACCACGCCTGACCCTTGTGATTGTGCGTTTCCTGGTCACTTCCCATAACCGACTCCCACCCCAGTGTCTTCTGTCTTCAGCAGAAGAGGCTATTTACGGTGGTGGCTTCAGCCATTTTGGCGCGTTCCTCTGCTTTCTGGGGTCTCCTCATGTGTACAGCAGGTACACATGTTATTACACTTCAGTTGTTTTTCTCCTGTCAATCTGTCTTGTATTACAGGGGTGTCTCAGCCAAGAACCGGGAGGGTTAGAGGGAATTCATCCCCTCCCTACAGAGCCGGGGCTATAGCACACAGGCTGGGGTGCAGTAGGCCGACCCCCCAGGTTTGTGTAACACACTCAGGGTGTTCGCACAAGGACGAAATCGCCTCGGGATGCACCCTCCAAAGCATTCCCGCCCGCGGTTGAGCCGGGACTGGCTGTATTAGTGGGCCGGGGCTGCCGTGACAAATGCCACAGACCGGGAGGCTTAAACCCAGAAATCTATTTTCTCATCGTTTTGGAAGCTAAAGTCCAAGGTCCAGGTGTCGCAGGGCTGGTTGCCTCTGAGACCTTCTCCTTGGCCGGCAGCCGCCCTCTCACCTCTTCCCACGGCCCTGACCTTCCTTGTGCAGGAAACTGTCGTGTCTCTTGTCTTCTTATAAGGACACCAGCCCACCGGATCAGGGCCATCCTCGCGGCCTCACTTTAACTTAATCACATCTGTAAAGATTATCTGCAGATTCGGTCACATCGGGGGTTAGGGTCCAGCATATGAGGGGGACACAGTTCAGCCCTTAAAAGCAGTCCCCTGCTCTCATTAATCGATATTGTGGTCTTTAATTTAGCCTGAGACCTTAAACAGTTCAGTTTTCGTTACTGTATTGGCAGAAAGGACTACAGAAGGAGCTTCCCTAGAGTTTGCCCAGGGCTTTCTTTCCAGCCCATAACCTACAGAGGCGTCCTCGCTGTGCACAGGAAGCTGTACCCCCGGCCCGGGGCCAGCTGGGTCATGCGCGTTTATAGGCGATGTGCGGAACCCTCAGCTCTGGACACCTCTCTCCCCTCCCCCTCCCCCTCCCCCTCCCCGATGACACACCTCTGTGGTCCCTGCGGGAGCAAAGGGCAGTCCAGCAGTGGCTCTCAGCTCTCTCTACATGGTCAGGCCAAAATGTGAACATGCATCTCTATTTTTCTCTCGTAGGCGACGTTTCTTTACACACTACAAGTTAAATATCTGCTCACCCAGGTAACGCGGACTTTCCTCTTCCTTTGTGGGGCCAGTAGGAGATCACAGCTTTTAGGGATGGGGCTCTGGAAGGATCAGAGATGGGGGCTGGATGGGGAGCCGCCTGCCAGCCCTGCCTTAATGCCCCCAGCTCCCGCCCCTTGTTCCTGCAGTGGCCTCGGCCTCTCCCCGCCGCCGGTCTCGCCCCTGTGCTCACTTGCACCCCCTCTAAATACTGTCACCTCCACCCGCAGTGCAGCTCGGGCCCCCTAACTCCTTGCTTAAACTAACCAGGGCCTCCTGATAAATAAGTGACCCGCACAAATGGTTGGCCAAGACCTTTGTCCTGGCCTCTGAGCCCAAGACCACCGAGGCCACCGGAGACCAACACGTAGCCCGGCAGTAGGTCTGTCAGCGGGAGCATCGACAGATGGGAGGGGCCGTGGGTTCTCACCGAAGGGGGGTGCAGTTCAGCGCAACCCAAGGACGCCCGCTACGGGAGGCTCGGAGCAGAGCAGGCCGAGCGGAGAAGTCAGGGCCAGGCCCACCCACTCTCCACCCAGTCCTCTCGGCTGGGAAGCCGCAGAGCTCAGGTCGATGTGGACGGCCGTGTTGGAGCTCGGGGAGCTTTGCCCCTGGGTGGGACGTGGAGGCTGCTCTGTGTGAAACTGACTTCACCCCTCCCGGCAGAGTGGGATGTCTTACTTTTACCGACAGGATTTCAAACAGCAAGGCTTTTACAGATGTGGTTTCAGAGAACCAGCTTTCCCAGAGATAAGAAAGGGTTCAAAGGGGCGAGATGACACCGCAGGCGGAGACGTGTTCCCTGTGACCCCATGCGGCTCGAGCCGGTCGGCCGTTGTTTCCGGACGCCTGGCAAGCAGCCGCTCACTTCCTCAGTGCAATGCCATTTTACTCTCAGCTGCACGTCTCAGATTTGAGATGCCAGATAAGACTGGATGCTTCTGCTCTGTGCTTACGAGCAGAGCCAGATAGGAGGGAACGCACCCACACTCCAGTTTCCCAATTCCCATTTTGCTTGAGAAGGTGGTGGACTTTCACCCACAGTCCAATGTGGAAAGCAGCTTGTTCGTACGCTGTCATCCCTGCTGGCGCTGGCACTATTGTAGAGCTTCTCTCCTTTCCTCTCTGCGTCCCACCTCCTGCCCTGGTCTCGCCATGGCGCCGAGAGGAGGAGGAGAGGGGGTGCTGGGAGGGTGGGAAGGTACGCGCAGCAAGGAGGCACCCACAGCACGTGGCTCCCGCGGCAGCCTGTGCCCCGCCGGTTCCAGGGGTCTCTAGCAGGTGCCGTCTCTCCTCGCTCCAGGGAATCATACTGCCCCAGATCCTAACCGGAGTTGCAGCCAATCTCGTCAACGCTCTCGTCAACTATCTGTTTCTCCACGAACTGCATCTTGGGGTGATGTGAGTCCGACCAATTCTTGGGACAGGGAGAAGGAATGACTGTGTGTGGCTTCTCCAAGGCTGGGGGAGAGAGACCTTGACCTGGGCGTGTCCATGTGTGGTCTCCGCCTTGGACCCTCTGGAAAACAGGGTCCGGTCGGGGTGGGGGAGAGGAATGCTCAGGCCGAGCGGAGAAGTCAGGGCCAGGCCCGCCCGCTCTCCACCCCAGTCCTCTCGGCTGGGAAGCCGCAGAGCTCAGGTGGATGTGGACGGCCGTGTTGGAGCTCGGGGAGCTTTGCCCCTGGGTGGGACGTGGAGGCTGCTCTGTGTGAAACTGACTTCACCCCTCCCGGCAGAGTGGGATGTCTTACTTTTACCGACAGGATTTCAAACAGCAAGGCTTTTACAGATGTGGTTTCAGAGAACCAGCTTTCCCAGAGATAAGAAAGGGTTCAAAGGGGCGAGATGACACCGCAGGCGGAGACGTGTTCCCTGTGACCCCATGCGGCTCGAGCCGGTCGGCCGTTGTTTCCGGACGCCTGGCAAGCAGCCGCTCACTTCCTCAGTGCAATGCCATTTTACTCTCAGCTGCACGTCTCAGATTTGAGATGCCAGATAAGACTGGATGCTTCTGCTCTGTGCTTACGAGCAGAGCCAGATAGGAGGGAACGCACCCACACTCCAGTTTCCCAATTCCCATTTTGCTTGAGAAGGTGGTGGACTTTCACCCACAGTCCAATGTGGAAAGCAGCTTGTTCGTACGCTGTCATCCCTGCTGGCGCTGGCACTATTGTAGAGCTTCTCTCCTTTCCTCTCTGCGTCCCACCTCCTGCCCTGGTCTCGCCATGGCGCCGAGAGGAGGAGGAGAGGGGGTGCTGGGAGGGTGGGAAGGTACGCGCAGCAAGGAGGCACCCACAGCACGTGGCTCCCGCGGCAGCCTGTGCCCCGCCGGTTCCAGGGGTCTCTAGCAGGTGCCGTCTCTCCTCGCTCCAGGGAATCATACTGCCCCAGATCCTAACCGGAGTTGCAGCCAATCTCGTCAACGCTCTCGTCAACTATCTGTTTCTCCACGAACTGCATCTTGGGGTGATGTGAGTCCGACCAATTCTTGGGACAGGGAGAAGGAATGACTGTGTGTGGCTTCTCCAAGGCTGGGGGAGAGAGACCTTGACCTGGGCGTGTCCATGTGTGGTCTCCGCCTTGGACCCTCTGGAAAACAGGGTCCGGTCGGGGTGGGGGAGAGGAATGCTCTGGGAGGAGGGCCTGCCTCAGACATCCCAGCGCGGGGTGGGATGGCGCCCTGGCTGAGGGAGGCCGGAGGGGCGGAGAGCAGCACTCCCCTCACGGGCTGTTCTTCCCAGGGGCTCAGCACTGGCCAACTTGATTTCCCAGTTCTCCCTGGCTCTGTTCCTCTTTCTCTACATCATCTGGAAGAAACTGCATCGAGCTACCTGGGGAGGTAAAGGCTGTCTTTTGTTTTGCAACGTGGACGTGGGTTTTGCCTCGGGTGTGCTCCAGGCAGGTGCCCAGCTGTGTTGAAACTGTGCGCCCCCCCCAGGGTGGTCGCTGGAGTGCCTGCAGGACTGGGGCTCCTTCTTCCGCCTGGCCATCCCCAGCATGCTCATGCTGTGCATGGAGTGGTGGGCCTATGAGATCGGGAGCTTCCTGAGCGGTCAGTGCGGGAGGGGACGCTGGGGGTGGGGGGGGGTCTTGCCCGGAAGCGCAGCACCAGCGGTCTCTCTCCTCAGGAATCCTCGGCATGGTGGAGCTGGGGGCCCAGTCCATCGTGTATGAACTGGCCACTATGGTCTTCATGGTGAGTGTCTGAGGCTGGCTGTGCGGAGGGGCTAGATGTGTCTCTTGGCAGGGTCCCAAGACAGGCGTAGGTCTGTCCACCACATTCAGTCCTAAAGTTTATCCCAGAGCCTGAGAGGTCCTTTCGGTTAGGGGTCTTCCTGTGGGCTCACTGGCAGGGGGGGGGGGGTCTTCCTGTGGGCTCCCTGGGGGGGGGTCTTCCTGTGGGCTCCCTGGGGGGGGGTCTTCCTGTGGGCTCCCTGGGGGGGGGTCTTCCTGTGGGCTCCCTGGGGGGGGGTCTTCCTGTGGGCTCCCTGGGGGGGGGTCTTCCTGTGGGCTCCCTGGGGGGGGGTCTTCCTGTGGGCTCCCTGGGGGGGGGTCTTCCTGTGGGCTCCCTGGGGGGGGGTCTTCCTGTGGGCTCCCTGGGGGGGGGTCTTCCTGTGGGCTCCCTGGGGGGGGGTCTTCCTGTGGGCTCCCTGGGGGGGGGTCTTCCTGTGGGCTCCCTGGGGGGGGGTCTTCCTGTGGGCTCCCTGGGGGGGGGTCTTCCTGTGGGCTCCCTGGGGGGGGGTCTTCCTGTGGGCTCCCTGGGGGGGGGTCTTCCTGTGGGCTCCCTGGGGGGGGGTCTTCCTGTGGGCTCCCTGGGGGGGGGTCTTCCTGTGGGCTCCCTGGGGGGGGGTCTTCCTGTGGGCTCCCTGGGGGGGGGTCTTCCTGTGGGCTCCCTGGGGGGGGGTCTTCCTGTGGGCTCCCTGGGGGGGGGTCTTCCTGTGGGCTCCCTGGGGGGGGGTCTTCCTGTGGGCTCCCTGGGGGGGGGTCTTCCTGTGGGCTCCCTGGGGGGGGGTCTTCCTGTGGGCTCCCTGGGGGGGGGTCTTCCTGTGGGCTCCCTGGGGGGGGGTCTTCCTGTGGGCTCCCTGGGGGGGGGTCTTCCTGTGGGCTCCCTGGGGGGGGGTCTTCCTGTGGGCTCCCTGGGGGGGGGTCTTCCTGTGGGCTCCCTGGGGGGGGGTCTTCCTGTGGGCTCCCTGGGGGGGGGTCTTCCTGTGGGCTCCCTGGGGGGGGGTCTTCCTGTGGGCTCCCTGGGGGGGGGTCTTCCTGTGGGCTCCCTGGGGGGGGGTCTTCCTGTGGGCTCCCTGGGGGGGGGTCTTCCTGTGGGCTCCCTGGGGGGGGGTCTTCCTGTGGGCTCCCTGGGGGGGGGTCTTCCTGTGGGCTCCCTGGGGGGGGGTCTTCCTGTGGGCTCCCTGGGGGGGGGTCTTCCTGTGGGCTCCCTGGGGGGGGGTCTTCCTGTGGGCTCCCTGGGGGGGGGTCTTCCTGTGGGCTCCCTGGGGGGGGGTCTTCCTGTGGGCTCCCTGGGGGGGGGTCTTCCTGTGGGCTCCCTGGGGGGGGGTCTTCCTGTGGGCTCCCTGGGGGGGGGTCTTCCTGTGGGCTCCCTGGGGGGGGGTCTTCCTGTGGGCTCCCTGGGGGGGGGTCTTCCTGTGGGCTCCCTGGGGGGGGGTCTTCCTGTGGGCTCCCTGGGGGGGGGTCTTCCTGTGGGCTCCCTGGGGGGGGGTCTTCCTGTGGGCTCCCTGGGGGGGGGTCTTCCTGTGGGCTCCCTGGGGGGGGGTCTTCCTGTGGGCTCCCTGGGGGGGGGTCTTCCTGTGGGCTCCCTGGGGGGGGGTCTTCCTGTGGGCTCCCTGGGGGGGGGTCTTCCTGTGGGCTCCCTGGGGGGGGGTCTTCCTGTGGGCTCCCTGGGGGGGGGTCTTCCTGTGGGCTCCCTGGGGGGGGGTCTTCCTGTGGGCTCCCTGGGGGGGGGTCTTCCTGTGGGCTCCCTGGGGGGGGGTCTTCCTGTGGGCTCCCTGGGGGGGGGTCTTCCTGTGGGCTCCCTGGGGGGGGGTCTTCCTGTGGGCTCCCTGGGGGGGGGTCTTCCTGTGGGCTCCCTGGGGGGGGGTCTTCCTGTGGGCTCCCTGGGGGGGGGTCTTCCTGTGGGCTCCCTGGGGGGGGGTCTTCCTGTGGGCTCCCTGGGGGGGGGTCTTCCTGTGGGCTCCCTGGGGGGGGGTCTTCCTGTGGGCTCCCTGGGGGGGGGTCTTCCTGTGGGCTCCCTGGGGGGGGGTCTTCCTGTGGGCTCCCTGGGGGGGGGTCTTCCTGTGGGCTCCCTGGGGGGGGGTCTTCCTGTGGGCTCCCTGGGGGGGGGTCTTCCTGTGGGCTCCCTGGGGGGGGGTCTTCCTGTGGGCTCCCTGGGGGGGGGTCTTCCTGTGGGCTCCCTGGGGGGGGGTCTTCCTGTGGGCTCCCTGGGGGGGGGTCTTCCTGTGGGCTCCCTGGGGGGGGGTCTTCCTGTGGGCTCCCTGGGGGGGGGTCTTCCTGTGGGCTCCCTGGGGGGGGGTCTTCCTGTGGGCTCCCTGGGGGGGGGTCTTCCTGTGGGCTCCCTGGGGGGGGGTCTTCCTGTGGGCTCCCTGGGGGGGGGTCTTCCTGTGGGCTCCCTGGGGGGGGGTCTTCCTGTGGGCTCCCTGGGGGGGGGTCTTCCTGTGGGCTCCCTGGGGGGGGGTCTTCCTGTGGGCTCCCTGGGGGGGGGTCTTCCTGTGGGCTCCCTGGGGGGGGGTCTTCCTGTGGGCTCCCTGGGGGGGGGTCTTCCTGTGGGCTCCCTGGGGGGGGGTCTTCCTGTGGGCTCCCTGGGGGGGGGTCTTCCTGTGGGCTCCCTGGGGGGGGGTCTTCCTGTGGGCTCCCTGGGGGGGGGTCTTCCTGTGGGCTCCCTGGGGGGGGGTCTTCCTGTGGGCTCCCTGGGGGGGGGTCTTCCTGTGGGCTCCCTGGGGGGGGGTCTTCCTGTGGGCTCCCTGGGGGGGGGTCTTCCTGTGGGCTCCCTGGGGGGGGGTCTTCCTGTGGGCTCCCTGGGGGGGGGTCTTCCTGTGGGCTCCCTGGGGGGGGGTCTTCCTGTGGGCTCCCTGGGGGGGGGTCTTCCTGTGGGCTCCCTGGGGGGGGGTCTTCCTGTGGGCTCCCTGGGGGGGGGTCTTCCTGTGGGCTCACTGCCGGGGGGGTGGGGTCTTCCTGTGGGCTCACTGGCAGGGGTGGGGTGGGAGTGGGGAGAGGGTCTTACTGATGTGTCCACTGCTGGGCTTCCATCCCCCAACATGGTCCACGTCTGAAAGATCTCATTTGATTGCCAGACTTGCCAAATAGTTGTCACAACACGAATGCCTTGAGGGCAGGCCGTGTTCCCTTTCCCTTTCTTTTCCTTCCTTTCTTCCTTCCTTCCTTCCTTCCTTCCTTCCTCTTTCTTCTTTCTTTCTTTTCTTTCTTTCTTTCTTTTCTTCTCTTTTCTTTTCTTTCTTTCTTTCTCCTAAGCTCTAAGGGCCCTTCTTTTGCCTCTATAGCGTGTTTCCTGAGCCCACACTGCCCAGCTGACTCACTTCTTCCACGGTTCACTTCTACCCCTGTGACTTTCTAATAAGCTTTCTCTTATCATTTGAGTTCCTTGGCTCTGAATTCTTTCCCAGCCAAACTCAAGAACTGAGGTTGCTTAGCCAGGGTCTAACCTCTGGTGCGTGTAGCCGTCACCAGATTTGTGCCATTGGTGATATTAACTGGCTGCGTGGTGACAGCACTGTCTGCCCGGTTTCCCGCCATCAAGTCACCCTCTTTGCATTGTGATGATAAAGAATTTGTTGGGAGACCCCTGTGTTTGCTCCCACTAGGGGCTGGTCTCCCATTTCTTTTATCTACCTCGCTCTGTCCGTTTCTATAGCCCTTCCTTTAGCGGTCCTGATCCTAAGGCAAAATCCTTGTTTAAATGAGTGATAAATATTTTGCCTTAATTAATACTTAATTTCTCACATGATAAATTTATAGATAACACGTGCACCGGTGGGGTCCCTCGGCCTGGCCTGCGCCCCCTCGCAATCTGGGACCCCTCGGGGAATGTCGGAGAGCTGGTTTCAGCCTGATCCCCGCAGGCCAGGCCGAGGGACCCCACCGGTGCACGAATCTGTGCACCAGGCCTCTAGTGTATAGATAATAATGGCTACTTTTCCCTGAGTAATTGCTATGTTTGAGGCACTGTTCTAAGTAGTTAGCATGCATGGACTCATTTACTCCCGACATAACCCTAATATGCAGGTCCTCTTATGAGGTCTCTGTCACAGATAGCTGAGGTCTAGTGAGGGCAGGTAACCTGCCAGGTCACACAGCTCAGAGGTGCCTGGACTGGGATCTGCACCCGGGCAGTCTGGCTTCAGAATCCCTGTTCCTAACCACAGCCCACACCGCTTTCCTCTGTCTCCTTTGGCACCACCTCTGGCCTCACAGAGGGCAGCACTGCTACTGGCTTGGGCTGGGTCTTTCCGTTTTCGTAAGTTCTTTTTATCCAACATTTGCAGGGGGAGGGGTCAACCTTTTAGGATTCTGTTTTCTAAACGTGCCCCCTTGAGGGTCTTTCAGAACAGACCTATTTGGGCTCCTGGCATCCATCCTTCCACACCCAAGGGCGAAAGTGACGGTGCAGCCCTCCCAGCGCCCAGGCTGGACGCTCTGCAGCAAAGCCAGGCTTGTGACAAGGACACAGCCCAGGGTCCCAGGTCCCACGTTAGCCGGCGGCTCCCAGCGAGACAAGATGCGGCAAACTACCCTTCTTAGAGCTTTAGGACCAAGTTCTACCAAGGAGGCGCGAAGCTCGGTTTGCCTAGTCTCTCTTCCCTGGAAGGTGCAGAGCAGGCTCAGGAGCTGGGGGCAGGGCTGGTCCCTGCGCTCACCGTCCCCTTCTCCTTGCAGATACCCACGGGCTTCAGCGTGGCGGCCAGTGTCCGGATTGGGAACGCGCTGGGCGCTGGAGACATCGCGCAGGCCCGGAGGTGCTCCGTGGTCTCCGTGCTGGTCACAGGTGCTCAGCTTTCCGCCCGTGGCTCCCCCAGCCGTCTGCGCGGGAC